ACCCTCTGACCTGGCTGGCCCCACTCACCGTGGATGATGTTCTGGATGGACTGATCCCGGAGCTCCACCCCGATCTGGTCCCACTGCTTGGTGGTGTCCAGGTAGTGGGTGAGGATGATGTTCGGGGTGACGCTGAAGATGTTCTGCTCCACGCACCCGTACGGCAGCTTGATCAGCTTCTGCAGCGTGGAGCTCTGCAGCCCCCCCACCAGCGTCTCGCCGAGCAGGTCCCCTGCCGAGGGAGAGGAGATGCCCACTCATGCCCCAGCTTGTCCCTTCCCCCAGCCCCAGCTGGCTGCGGGCGGCCTGGCCGCGCCACGCGTGCTGCTGAGAAGCGGGACAGCTGCACTGTACTCCGGCTCTGGGAAGGGAGTGGGGGCTAGTGGTTAGAGCACTGCATGGTGACAAGTATCTGGGTGGAGCCGTGTTAGTCTGTATCCACAAAAACAACGAGGAGTCCGGTGGCACCTTAAAGACTAACAGATTTACTTGGACATAAGCTTTCATGGGTAAAACACTCACTTCTTCAGATGCCACGCCCCCCTCCCCTAACCGGCCCGCCATACAATTTCCAAAACCCGATGTGGCCCTCGGGCCAAAAAATGTGCCCGCCGCCGGTATAGATCATTGTTGCAACCACTGTTATATATTTGCAGCAAATATTGTACGAAGGTTGTCGTGTGAGGCGTCTATACAGAGGTTATGGTTTGCTGGTTATGATGATGCTGTCTGTAGGGTTGTCTGTCCTGTCTGTATTTCACACTTGGGCTCTGCTTCTGGGTGACACCCCAGACAGTTTGGTGTCAGCACTGCCTGGCCTGCTTGATGGCCCATTACAAACCGTCAGCTACAACTGACCCATTGAGAGAAGCAGAGACACCTGGTGACTCAGCAAGGCTGGGACCTGCCTGGGGATAGACTCGGAGGTTTTTACAGGCCATGTGCTGGATGATTGTCTTTGGGACAAAGAAAGAGAGGCCACATGGCAGCTGCCTCATCTCCATCTTGTCTTCAATCCTGCTTCTTACCTGTGGAGGGACTTTGCTGCAAACTGAAGCTCTGAACAAAGGACTGAATGACCCATCCCAGCTGGGGATGTTCCAGAGACTTGATTTGAACCTGCAGTTTATTCTATCGCTGCTACAAGCCTGAACCAAGAACTTGGCCATTACTGGATGTCATTGATTCTGTGTAACCAATTCTAGCTCTCATCTCGATCTTTTTCCTTTTATGAATAAACCTTTAGACTTTTAAGCAATT